AAAAATGATGGAAGGGCGGTCTTCCATAATAAATGGGAGACTGCCTTCCTCTCCCATAAATTATGTGTATCAAACACGCCCTAAAGGCCCTAGATTCTTCTTTGCAGTCCAAGTCTGATATCAATCGGAGTTTTTCTTTTTACTCCCAAAAATTCCTTCGTTGTTGCTGGCTCCAAAACTTGAGCCTATTTTTAAGCATTTTCAGTTTTCAGCAAAGGCTGAAACCAGCCAAACCAAAGACCTACAAGGAGGACCACAAATACATAATATTTGGTCTTGTAGAAACCAGTGCAAAGTAAACCTACTTAAACCCAAACTATTGATGAATACATAAAGGGAAAAGTTTATACAAAGCCTAGGCTCTAAACAATCAAATTAGAGCCTACCTCAAAATTTTCACTATAAGAGGTTGTTTTGATGCCCAAATATCACAAATTGATCATCTCGACATCAAGATGCATGGATATGAGAAAAAAGTGGATTTCAAGTTTTGGAAGTAGTGCATCTTATAATGCATTTATGGATTGTTAATTTTCAAGATTTTCAAGTTTTCATAGATTTGCTCGATCTACACTATTTTTGAAGCTTTAAATTGTATAACTAAAGATGAAAATATAATTTAAGGTTATCACACCAGTATTGAAATCATATTTCTCAACATTATTTGAAGGTGGGCTCTAATTTGATTGTTTAGAGCCTCAGCTCTATACAAACCGCACCCATACATAAAACACCTAAAAGACAGGCACTAGATCCCATCTTCTCCGGGAATAAATCTTTCAATGCATTGGATCTCTTTTTTTTCTTCTTCTTTCTTAATGTTAACTTGAGACTTGGTAGGAAAGGAACTGTTGCACCTGCCACCGATCATCTATGCCTTGAGCACATTCCTTCAATGTATGGAATTTTAAAGTCAACAATTGGGGTGTTTCTCTCAGTGTGCTTAAAAAGAATAACCAAATCAACCTTCCTACCCTTCATGTGAAACGTTCACCCTGGAGATAATTATAACTCCACTATGCATGAACTTAACAGATGATGTCCCAGATACCCAGCCAAAGATGACAACTCCTATGGGTTTGATTTTGGCATGCCTATCATTATTTCATTTCCCTTATGTGGAGATGTTTCATGCAATAACTAAGTTATTTATTTAAGTACATAATAAACTGGCTCACTCAGAAATCAATTGTGATCATAAGTTCAGACCATCCATATTAGTTATAAACAGTATTTCTAAACTCGAACTCAGTCCCTGACTTTCTCACAGAAAGTACCACGTCAACACGCAATATTTCAACTTTGGAAAAAGAACTCCATGAGTATTTCACTTTTGGAGAAATCTTTTGCAGGATTCGAACTTGAGACCAAGTCTGGTATCTAGATAAGGAAATATATAACGCCACCACAAAACCACAAAACATTTTGGCATAAATTCTCGTACATTTAGTTATATGCTGACCCAATCAACCCTGGCTTGACATAATAACTTATGGACGTTGCCAATCGAGTTAACTTGGACTTAGTGCAAAAAATTGAAACAAGTTTTTGAGCACAGATTAAAGCATACGACAATTGTCCCTTAAAAGAGAAATGTCAAAGAGAACCACACCTTCCAATTCCAGCCATGGGATTTGATTGTTGGATTCCCATTAATTTTGCTAAAGCATTGACAGACTTCTTCATTGAAATGTATAATTTTTATTTACATACTTTTACCTCACACAGTTTTAGTTCTAGATCAGCAGCTTCTAAACATGTCAAGTTGGAACTCCCAATCCAATGGAAACAATTTACAGAGAATTCAAAGGTGCTTCAAAGGGACAACTCAAACGGGCAGTGAATGCTTTCGAAAATGGAACCACAGATCTAATATTTTAAAGTCAAACTCAAAGGAGTGAAGCAATCATGGTTTGAGGATTTAATCAGGAAGTGTCTAAGAAAGTTCTAAGCTCACCAGGTGGTTTCAAATGCCAGGATTCAAGAACATATGAATTTTAAAAGCTGCAGCGTCTAGTGACTACATAGCTGATAACATTTTTGAATAAGGGTAACTACATAGCTGAATCTTAGAAATTGCATCAAGAAAGGTGGAGGTGGAGGAGGAGGTGGGGGTGGCAATAGGGTCGGGTCAACCCGCACCCGGTCTAGGTCGGGGTCCATGTTTTGGACCCGCCAGGCAGTTCCGAGTCCAGTTTCCAGCATGGACCCTATTGTGCCGCGCTAGGTCGGGATCAATGCGGTAAAAAATATACAAAACACGTGAAGCATATATGCTAAAATAATACATAAATATATTTTTTATTTTTTAAATTTCTAGACCAGGGTTTGGGTTGAAATGACTTGGACTTGACCAGGGTTGGGGTTTGAGTTCATGTGCAAGCTAATTGGGTTGGGATCGGGTCAACCCGAACTTGACCCGACCTGTTGCCACCCGTAGGTTGATGCAGGACAAAATTATTCTTATTTTTTATTTTTATTCAATTTCAAATGATGTATATTTTGATTTTCGTTTGAGGGTTTACTTCTAGGGTTTTAAATTTTTTTAGGATTCTAGGGTTTTTCTTATATTTTCATTTACTATTCACCAATTACAATTCATGAACACTGTTCAATAGTACTATTCACGGGTATTGTTCACGGATTATTGTTCATAGAGGTAAAATTGTTATTACGAATTTTGAGTTTAAGTCGGGACTTTTTTGGGTCATTTTAACTATTGCATGGCCATTAAACTATTATTATTTAAAAAGTGTGTGAGGCCTAGAGGGGTCATTGCACAAGATTTTTAGAATCGAAAGAGAAAAAAACTTGAGCTTTTGGAACCCTAGCTTGGGGTGAGAGAAAACCATAGGTTTCTCCCGATTATTGTTTGTGTTTTGGCTTGATTTCTTACTAATTTTACTTTTCTCTCAAATTTCCCTACATCAATGTGGTATCTGAGCTCAATTCGAAGACAGTTAAAGATTGCAATGACTGGTTGTGGAGGTCTTGGCCGTAGGGATGCCAATCTGATCCAATTTTATAAAAGAAATCAACAACTTGACAGATAGCATTACACAACTGTTCTGTAAGCGAGGCCAGCAACAGTGTACCCTAAACAAAGAGGAATCTACGGGGATTGATCCAAACCGTGAGGGTTTTTATGAAGAATGGTGTGAATCAGAGTCTGAGGCTAGGTGGGAACAGATTGATAACGTGTTAACTACAAAGATGGGTTTAATGTGCAATGGCATTGATGGGAGCATTATTTTGGAGGAGAACAAGAAGGATCCAATCCTCAATTGGATTCGATATTATTTGAATCAGTAGAAAGTCCTATCTTTGGTAGTGATCTTATTTTTTATAAAGAACTAGGTGATATCTTTGATGGTGATCCTATTTTTGATGAACAATTGGAAGAAGTTGAAGACTTTGGAGAACCTATTTATGATAAGAATCAAGATGAAGATGAAAGACGTTTTGGAAGATGTTCTTGCTTGAGAAGAATATAGATAAAAGGCAGCTGGGGGACTGATCAAAACCCTGGCCTTTGAAGATGTCAAGGATATTTAAAAGGTGAAGCTTTCAAGAGATTCAAGCATTGGAATCAAACTAGTGCAATGGAAGTATGGTCGTCATAAACCACAAATTGTGGCCTCGGTTTCAAAGAGTAATGAAATAAATGTCGATAAAGTCTCTAAAGGACTGAAAAATTGAGTTTGAAGTTTCCTACAAGATTTTCAATAGGAGTTCAAGGATAACCATATTTGATAAATTTGCATTAATTCCTCATAACCCATATCAAGATTTGTTTCTTGAAGAATTCTTTTTACCACAAATAGTCTTAGAGCCAACAAAACTCAATGTTTTAAAGAAGGTGGTTTTGATGCCGAATTCATCTTAGCTCACTTCAAAACTCGAGTACGAGTTTTCTCCAACCAAGGGAGAATGATGCACGACAAAATTATCCTTAATTCTTATTTAATTTCAAAGGATGTATATTTCGATTTTAGTTTTGGGGTTTATTTCTAGGATTTTTAAGGATTTTAGGGTTTTTCTTATATTTTCATCTACTATTCACTGGTTACTATTCATGAGTATTGTTCAAGGGTACTATTCACAATTACTGTTCATAAGGGTAAAATTGTCATTACGAATTTTGTCTTTAAGTTGGGACTTTTTGGTCATTTTAATAATTGCATGGACATTTAATGTCCTTGAACATAAAATGTTATTATTTAAGAGGTGTGGGGCCAAGAGGGGTCATTCCACGAGATTTTTATAATGGAAAAAGAAAGAAAAAATTAGGTAGAAAGGAAAGAGAGAAAAAATTAGGCTTTTGGTACTTGGGTGGAGGAGGAAACCATAGGTTTCTCCAAGTTATTGCTTGTGTTTGGCATGATTTCTTGCTGATTTTGCTGTTCTATCGAGTTTCCCTACATCACAGGTGGACGTTTGTCTCTTCTGTCTTGTGACATGGAGTGACAGATGCCTAGGATCCACATGAAGCCATGGCAATTATTTCTTTTCTTTTTTATTTTCAATGCCATCACACCCTTTTAAATTGCAAAATCAATTGGAAAACCAAGTTTGACCTCAAAGAGTAGAAGAACAGAAACACCATGACTATCCAATTTGAGAAAATCCAAGATGCATTGTAAAATCAAGGACATTCATTCAATCAAAATGAGAAAATCCAATTATGTTTAAGGAGGGACATGGTAACGGTTTCCTCGGAAAAAATTATTACGATTCAGTGTCATATCATCATATGCAGGTCCTTTCTGCTACTAACACCTAAAATAGGATAGGAAGATACCAGTAGTATGCAATTTATAATTTACATTACATCCACAAACTTCCCAAATGCGCCACGCAATCTGACTACCACATTGAGAGCACCAATTATCCTTCCAAAATACTAGCAAGAACCAACGGGAGGAGAGGACAAGGTAAATTGACTAAATAGAAATATAAAACTTGGGGAAAGAAAAAACTCTGAGGGAGAGAGAGCATACACGAGGAAATCCATATGCACTGTGGAAGCCCATCAACCTCAATGCTAACCCCAACACCATCCCCAGCCAAGAAACAAAGTAAGACGACAGCATAAAAATGACAAACTAAAAGATAGGCAAGAGATGCGATGATTAAACTCTCTCTCTCTCTCTGGATACTGAAATGAAAATTGACATAATTACGAAAACCAAAGAAACGAAAGGAAAAAAGGAACCAACAGTTGAGAAGAGCATCAGAAAATAAGATCAATCAACCATTCATAATTCAAAGAACATAACAACGAAAATCATACAAAATACAACAACCATAAACAGAGCGTACAATCACATTAATAAGCAAAGAAAAAGCGAACCCTAAAATTAACATAGACATAAATGCTCCGCAAGATAGTACATTTCCAATTAAACAGAAAGGGAAGAGAAACAGCCCCAGTGAAAATTAACCAGAAAGACTAAAATCCTATCAACAACAAAAATAACAATGGGTGCAGAAAAAAGAAAAAAGAAAAACTATCGGATTTGCGAAAATATGATGCGAAGAAATCGAGTTTCAGAATCTCAAACTCCAAGACAAGAACATCATCAGGATTCAAGCAAGAAAAACCAAATGGAGAAATTCCCCACAAAGCAATAAACAATCCACACATAAGTCATCCATTTCAGGATCCGCAGAATAATAAAAGTGCAAGTGTTTACCATATGATGCCATGATACAATTTTGGCAGAAGGACTGATCAAAAGTCGCAGCGATCCCGAATCCCTTTAACAAACAACACCAAGAAGAAGATTCACAGAGAGAGAGAGAGGTTAAACCAGGTTCCTAGAGAGAGATAGGGAGCAATGTGGCTTGTCGTTTTTTCCCCCTTACACCTCCCTCTCTCTCTCTCTCTCTCTATTATTTTTTTACTATAATAAACTCTCTAATAGATAGGGATGACGGTTCACTTTAAGCCGAGACTTCATGTAAACAAAATAAACCCTCGCCTTAAATCCTCATACGAAAGGCACTTATGGAATAAGAAATATCTATCTAAAATCAATTTCCAACCTGGACAATAAAATTTGAAACTAAAAAAATGGTACAGGTTTTGATTTTTGCACACTTTTTTTTAAGGTGAAATTACTTGTTTAGATAATTTGTTATAATATACACATTTTTAAAGCTTGAAATCTTTTTTTATTTTTTACAACAAGAGTTTTCAATTTAAGATTATCAACATAAAAGCTGCCTTGAATTGGGATTTTCGATGAGTTATGAGATGAAGCTTCATTTATTTTGATAAGATTGCAGCCCTAAGAAATTATTTTTTAAACAATTTATTTCTCAGGTGTTCACGGATCCATAAAATTTGTACTAGAGCTACAAATTTTATAAATGGTGGTGGAAATAGATTTTAATGCTAACTCAAGGATTTATAATGCTTGAATGTATTTTCCAACAACATCTCAACGCGAGGCTTTGTTCTTTTTCATAAAGACTACGTCTTACAAAAACTCCATCTTTTATTTATTGGAAAAGTGTTATATGTGTCGCGTGACGCATTGTTACCCATTTGCAACCCCCACGCGTAAACTGTCTATCTCAGAGATCGACGTAAATAGTAGTCCCTTCAAAAAATTTAAAACCAATTGTTTAAATAAACAATTGTTTTTTATTTTAAAATTTATTTATCAATTATATACAAGTCATCTCCATGTTAAAGGTTATATATTTTAAAAAAATTTAAGTCGAAATTCATAAAAAGATGTTGTTTAATGTTGAAAAACCCTCTAATTGATCATCTTTACCGATGTATGAATATGCAAAAAAAATAAAAAAATTGAATCCTAAAAATAATATACCTTGTAATATATTATCTAGACTGTCCATTTTCATGATTTTTATATATTTAAAATCTACTTGATTTGAATCAATTTTAGAGTTCAACTTTTTATAATTAGAGATGAAAATAGCTTTTTTGGCCACCTAAATAATTTTTTATACCGAAATTAAGTACTAAGATAAAATTTAGAGGTGCGTCTTAATTTGATTTTTTAAAGTTGCAACCTTATGCGAACTACACCCTTTTGAAAATGGATTTTAAAGAGGGGGTGCATTTTTACATTTTAGTCTGGGGACTCATGTAGACCGCATCCTTATTTTTCTCTACAAGATCCAATGAGATGACAAGCCTCATTTTTTCACCTTTTTAGTGTCTGCTGTTTATTTTTTTACTTGTAATTGTCTGCAAATAGACAATTTATCTTTTATATATGGAGGTCACAATTATTATTATCCCTTAAATTTCAAAATAGGTGGTTGTAAGAGTGTCATTGATTAAACACAAAGTTCAAAAAAAAAAAAAAAAAACTCTTGTCCCTAAAATTTCAAAATGGGCGATTTTAAGAGTGTCATTGAATAGACACAAAGTTCTATAAAAAAATAAAAAAAAAAAATCAGTTTATGACCCACCCCAAGTCATTCAATTTGACATCTCATCTAAGGAGTATAAACGATTGTGGCATCCATGTAGAAAAGATAAATAGTCTTTTTATATACAGTCCCTTTAAATTTTTAGGATTATATAAAATGAGACCATTTACTTTTAATACAATGTGGTCACAATTACTTGCAACCATTTAATGTGAAATTTGATAGTTTGGGTGTGTCATAAAGATCAAAAAAAATTATTTTGAAGTTTGAGCTTTGTCAAATGGAATAAATATAGCCACCTAATTTTACATCCAATAGTTAAGATTAATTGTGACCCCTTGTATTAAAAGTAAATGGTCTTATTCTATAGTTGTCCTTAGACTTTTTACAAATATGTGGTGGCACATTTCATTATAGGAATGGCACAGTTTACGTAAGGTGGCAATCTGTAAGTAAAGTCGGGAATTTCTATGTTAAACTGTGAGCATGGATTTGATGTCAAAAGGAAGGGGTTTTTAAGAGTCAGCCGACTCATACTATGTATAATGCGGGGTTCGTATTTAAAACTAGTGTCTAAAAGATCGGCCAATTTTTAAAAAATTGGCTGACTAACTCGAGATCGGTCCCTAGCCGATTATGATCTTGCTCGATTCCAATAGTCATGTATGCAAAAAAAAAATTTCCAGTGCATTAATCAGCACTAATCGGTGATTTGTTCTAAAAATCGGCAGATAATTGCATTGTCACAGTGTAGAGTTTGCAAAGTTGTCCTTATAACACTTTTTATATATTTCTCCTCTCTTTTTTTATGGACAGTTTTTATGCCGCCAGCTGCATATTGTAGAAATGCGAGCTTGGCAATAAATAAATTTTTAAATATAATTTAATCCTAATTTTTTATGGAGATCATGAACATGAAAAAAATAATAATTTGAAAACTAGAAGTAATAATTATATGAAGAAAACTTTTAGACCGTTAGTTACACTTGTTTTAAAACGGACAACCTACTTGCATCCATCTTTAAGATGGATGCTTTATACCTCTGGATCGCATATTGTAGAAATGCGGTCCAGCATGCATGAAACAATTTTCCTTCGTCTATTTATCTACTTAAAATTTTATATATTATTACAAAAAAATTTATTGACTAACTGCAGGGTTTGCTGCTTTGGACGAGTAAACTCAGACGCACCAAAGTTGGTTAAGCCAGACAGGGTGCCAAGTTCGTAGGTCCCTCAACTCGAGGGATATAAGATTTATTTGTTGTTCATCTGATTTGATCTTCAATCTAATACCTACACTGCCAACTCCTGATGGGCACGTAGACATAACATAGACACTGATATGAGAGAGAGAGAGATATAAAAATTTATCAAAATTGTCACATAGAGACGAACAATTTTATATTTTACCTACATTTTTAATTGAATTCCAAAACACTCTAAAAACAAACATGGTCTTGAGTTGAAATATTATATTATATATCATATATTTTATATTTACTTTATTAATGTAATTTATATTATATAGTATATATTGATTACATATTATATATAATATATATTTATTATATAGTGATCACTAAAAGAAGTATTGCTTCAAGTGGCTAATGTTTTTATCCGAAACCCAATTATGCTTATAATATTTAGTTTTTTGCTTTTTTATGTGACAATAAAACAAGAGTAATGATCCTATGAGACCCTCCCACACTCATGTGTATAGGACTCCAAAGGTCACTATTAAATTTAGCACAGATCTCTAGAAAAGATATCACATGGGTGTGAGACTTGACTTTTCTAGAGATCTGTGCCAAATTTAATGGCGATCCTTTGTGGTCGGTATAGGAGGGTCTCACAAAGTCATTTCCCTAAAAAAAATACATGTAAATTTTAAATATTTTTTTTGGAAATTTTTTGGGATTTCTTTACCAAAGTTGTATTTTTCAGGAAAAATCGGGGCATTAATCGGCCAATCTAGTCGGAATCGGTCCGACTAATCGGATCGGGCCAGGACCGACTAGTAGGTCTGATCCATTGTTTTGAACACGGCTTAAAACCTATTTTAAAACTGGATGTTTAATTCAAAAATTTAGAGATTCATGATTTAGGTTAGATGATTATGAATACGAAAAATAAATATAAATTTAATATTTAAAATATAAATTTTTTAACTTTTTTTTTTCTTTTTCTTTTTTTTGCACCATCTAAATTCTTTTTAGCCCCATGGGTTTTTTACAACATCCATCGACGTTAATGAGTTCGCAAGCCTTGTACCCGTTGACTCATGAGTGACTTTTCCTTATAAAAAATATTACAACTTTAAGATAATGTCAAATCTCCACTGTCCGAATAAAACGAACACTACATATTATTACAGCAACCTTGGCTTCTACAATAAATGCTACAACCTTATCTAAACTTTTTCCTTGTCTACTACACTTTTTCCTTGTCTACATGTACTTTAAAGATGAACTACTAACATTTTATCTTCTTAGTGATTTTACTATATTTTCCATATATAACGTAAAGAGTCTATCAAAGTACATGTATAATGAGTTGAAATACTTTAAAACAATTTCTAAAACCCGAATCAAAGAGGTGGATTGTCCACTCCATAAATCTATGTCAAATTGCCAGAGCGTTGATATGGATCAGTCAAAATTTGATAAATATTAATAAATAAGAAAATAAAAAAAAAGATTTCAACATGATATTGTTCAACCTATCAATTATTTTTAAAAAAATTTAAACCGCACAATGTACATGCCTAAAAAATGCGATCCTAAAATTAAATAAAAACTGCCCAATTTCTAGAGTGTAAGATCCAAGTGTTAAAAAATTCACATTCTATTTTCTTTTGAATATTATTTCAACAATTCTTAGGTAGATTCCGTAATTTAGTTTGAAGAAATTTATCCCAAATACCCACTTGCACCAGGTGGTAAATATAGAGTATGCTCCTACATGAGCATAGTATAGTACACACACTCATAATCATTTATGAAAATGATGATCTGGCGTGATGTACTATTGTTTAATAACATTTGGATTTTAACCCTAAAAAACTACTCCAAATTTACCATCACTCGATAATGAAACTTAATTCTACCATTCAATTGAATGTGTGTCTAAAAAATGGGTCAATGGGGTGGACCATCGATCCAAATATGTGGTGTGGAAAAATATAAAAACAATAAAAAAAATTAAAACAAGAAAAAGAGATGTAGGGGGCTTTGGAATACATTGAAAAGGACAATAAAAAGAAACGAACAAAAATTCGATGAAAAATTTATGTAAGGTATCAACCTTATACTGTTGAAGTAAGACGCAACTAAAAAGTCCAACCGACATTGGAAAACCTTAAAATCGATTACCTCAACCTCGAGATTCAAGATCTCTGAGATGCACATTTACCTCTTATCTGCGATTTATATCAGTCACCGGCTTTTCAATGTTAGTAGGTTTTGCATTCTTTAATTTCAACTATTGG